TGTTGACATCAGTTATTTGCTACCCACTAGGATCAGGCACTCTGTTGTTTACCTGATGTGACAATACCTCAGTTTCTTGAGGACTAGGATACTATTTCCTTGTTTGACCATGGAACAACAATGTTATACAATCAGAATAGGAGGAGCTCCAGAAGAGGAGGGTTTCTTAGGCAGCCTCCTCCACTTGAGTCACACTCATCAGGTAGGAACAGATCATCTGAATTCTTGTCCATGATGAGCTGCTAAAAATATTAACAATATACTAAAAGGCTGCGTATCTGAGCCTGCTTTGTATAGAACACCACATGCCACTCACACAAGGATTTCTGCATATGGGCTGCTAAAGGGCTATTGTACATATACTTGATTCCTTTACATTAAAGTCACATAACCTTCACTCTACCATGTTGAGCGGTGTTCTACACACATCATCTTCTTGATTTTATTTAGTAAAGCCAAACTGCATTCCATCTTAGACAGGAAAAGTGTTTCTACCTTATGAATCATGGCTATGTTTGATAATACATCAAGATAAACTCAGCTTCAGGCAGCTCGTGATTCCCACCAAATCCAATGGGAGTGGTTGTGTCCACCCAAGGGGAGATGTCCCTTGTAACCCCTTGGTGCTGTTTCTATTTGCAAGCTGCAAATTAATATTTTATAGCTAAGGAAAATAATTGAAATCAGCCCTAGTACAACACAGTAACCAACTCTGTGTGTGATGTATAGCATACTGCCTAGCAATGTTGCTAAGCAACACGGCACCATCCAAGAAAATCCTGCGTTAGTAGCTGGTGGGGTTGGTTAGACGTGACATTGTGCACACAGAGCTATGCAGAAATATGTACACTTTCCTCAGGAATATTACAGTGGTCTCTCATTATAAATAAGTCTCTTTTATTACTCTCTGCATACTGGCAAACTACATTACAAGGCACAGTGCACTGAAATAATTTCCCCACTGAAAAATATCCCCCCGTCTCCTAATTCTCTCCAAACCCAATTTAGAGAGTAGTGGAATTTTACAGCTTAATCCCATGATGCTCTCTCTCAATCCCCTGGCCTAGCTATTACCTCAGCCTAACCATAAAGCCAGATCACAATGATGTGACTCACTATAATATCTAAAGATAGCTCTTGTCAAATCACCATGAGTCCTGAATACCAGGGTCTTCTTTTTCAACTCCGTAACTTTTAGAATGTAGAAATCTATTTTGTACTGATGAGTGGGAGAAAGAGCAGGTACTGTAAACATTATTGCCAGTCTCAGTACTGGAGAACAGCACATAGGACTGCACAAGAAACTGCTTTTTGAGTCCTGGGGATTTATAACCCTAGCAGACCCAGAGGTCTGACTTGGTAGGCTGGCAGCAGGGGCACCTAGAACTTTTAGACCACGGTGGCAGTAGGGAACAGGACAGGTGTAGAAAGGGGAAAGAAAGCCTGCAAAGAGACATTTTCTGAAGGCTACTAGTCATAAAGATTTCCAGATTCTTTTCTTCACTGTTTGCTTAAAAACTGCTTTATTGAAGTGTGAACACTCACATGGAATGTTTAAAATCCACACACAATAAACTGGTGGTAGGGAATTAGAACCTGAAACCGACTGGAAATAACATATAGGCTAAGGACAGAAGTTGCACATAAACTGGTTTAAGTCATCAGAAACTGATTTAAACCTGTAACAGAACAGAAGTTCAGTGCACATAAACCAGTTTCAAAATGACAAACTGGTTTAAGATAAACCTGGTTGAATATAGTATCAGACTTAACTGATTTAGGTCAAAATGTTTTATGGAACTTCTGTCCCAGACCCCTTCCTGGTTCAAGTTGAATCACAGTCCCCCAGCATCCCAGCATGCTTTCCAGCTCTGAGCCAGTCTGGCTGCACTGGCTGCTCCAGCAGAGAATGGTTGCTGGAAGGCGGGCAGGGGGGCAAGAACTACCTCCCCCCACCCCCGGGCAAACCCTGGCTAGGGTCTAGGGCCAGGGAAGCAACCCTCAAGTATAGAGCTGCCCTGCCGCTGAACTAACTGAAACTTATTGCTGTCTGTGACTGTGGGCTGCAAATCCCAGAAGCACCTGGAAGCAGGAAGTGAAGAGCAACCCTGGGGAGTCCTGCTCCTGTGACTGTGGACTGCAAATCCCAGAGTCTTTGGGGGCAGCAGGAAGAGGAAGTAAACACACAGCCCATGCCAGAGAGGTGTGCTCTAGCACCTCCTCCCTCCCCCAGCTTCTAGCCTGAGCCACTGAGGCATGTGGCTATATTTCCTGAATCAGAAGTAAATGTGTGTCCAGTTGTTTCTCAGTTTAATCTCTGCAGTTTAGACTAACCCACAGAGACTGAACTGGTTCAGCCTCGGGCTTTTTGACTGTCTGTACCTAGCCATAAACAAAGAACTAAAATCAGCTCTGGACTCCGCCCCATGTATCCATGGCCCCAGGGCAGTGCAGTGTCAGCCGAGGAGACATGGCAGGGTTGGTTTCCTGTAAGTTCATACTTTGTAGCGGACAACAATTAGCCAGCACAGCCCCAGTAATAAATACCAGTGGCCAGGGAAAGGGCAAGGCCAGTGCAGCATGGCAATGCATTTAATCTAGGCTCCTGTTCAGCTCCCCTGGCAGATCCCCAGTACCACTAAAAAAAGACACACCATCTGCCACCCCTCAGGAAATCACTCCTGGATGCTCGCAGCTTCCTGCTGGAGCAGGGTGATTGTCTAGCTTCACCGACCATGCTGCATATAAGGAGAAAAGAAGTTTTTCAAAAGTGTGCCAGTTCTAATGGTGCCAGAAACATACATAAGGAAATTGAAAGGCAAGGAGCAGGAGATAGCTAGCTGTTTTTAATGTTTTGGGTCACATTCATCTCCAGTGTAACTCCATGAATTTAAAATAAGTTACATCAGGAATAATACCAGCCCAGTTTACTTGGTTATTTCCTGTAGAACCTGCAAATATTTATGCAAATGCAGGAGTACTCATATAAGTAGTTCCACTGAAATCAAAGTCACTACTCACATGCTTAGAGCTAAGCACATGCATAAGTGCCTCCAGGATTGGAGCCTATGGCACTGTTTCCAGGAAGGAAAAAATTAAGACAGCAAGGAGCTACCAGTTAGAGTGATATTATCCTTTCCACCTATAATTCCCCATTTTAACCCTCAGAAATCTTTCTTAGATCCATAACCACTTTTGACAATGTTGAAACTTTTAAGATGTGAATGTTGTGAGAGGGGAAAAGGAGCAGGAGCCAAATATGACAGAAGTCAGAAGACATTCCCCAAATTTCCCTAAAAATGAAGTTATGCAAGTATTCTTTGATTACTCCAAAATATCTATGAACATTCAAAATTTTGCCCTGATCTCCACTCCTTCACTGACAGGGTATGGACTAGAGGTCCTAGTGCAACCTTTCTGTTTTCATTTCTGTTATTTCTTACCCTGTTATTTTCGCTTCTATGCATTTCTGTCTCATCTCCAAATTTACCGTGGCAAATACACAGGCCAAGTCACAACTTACAAATATTAAATAACGATGAGGCCCAACTGCTTTCACATGTTAACAATGCCCGATGCTGTACAAGGTATAAAGAGAGTCCCTGTCTAAAAGGCTTGTATTCTAAAAGACAGACTAGGAAAGCATCAACCAAAGCCATTTACTTAGCTAAAGCCTTGTTTGATTCCTGTAACATCCAACTTTTTTTTTTTTTTTAAACGTTTATGGTCTCAGCAGCCCTACATTTAACATTTTGCAGCACCCCTTACAGGAGGGCTGTTGCGCATATTAAAATATCTGGGCCCAAAACAAGCTGTAAAGATAAATCTTGGTCTGTCATGTTTTATCCCACATCATCTGATCTAAATAAGGGTGACCTTCTCACATGCAACAGCACAAAACAATTGAGTTGGTGAAATGCCTGAAGTCAGCTGAGTTACTCTGAGGTAAATGAGATCAGAATGTGGCCCTGAACCAGCAATGGCACTCACACAGCAAGTAGGCAAAAGATCCAAGAGCTCCGTTTTCAAAACACCCTCTGAATGCTATTGTAGTTCTTGTGAGAGAGAAAAATTACTAGGAGTTTATGTGCATGACTCTTAGAGTATTTTTTTAGTTCTTTCATATTTAGCCAAAAGAGGGGGAACAGAATCTTTATTTTACCAGGCTTAACATGAGCTAAGATTCCCCTTGGTTTGCATGTGGGTTCTTCAACTTTACTATAAAAACATGCAACTCAATTCTATCCTAACTTCCCCTAACAGCTATATTTATGCCATTAAAACAAGCCAGGCAAATCCCTGAAATTAATTTCACACTATATTGAACAAATGGACTGTGAAATAGCTGTCTTCAGTTGTTGACATATGTTCATATGTAATGACATAGGGTGCAGGGATTTGCCTGGCTTGTTTTAGCACCCTAAAACTGGACAAAGATCTTCCCTCAACTTCCATGGTTAATAAATAAAGCCCTACTACTAGTATTTGTTTCCCTCTTGTGGTAACAAACAAGCTATAGTGCCACTACATAATGAGAATTTGCTCTGTGTTATATCCAAGGCCACAATTCTGCAAACTGCTCCATGAGGGCAGATCATAGTACCTTAGGAAACAGGATCCATGCAAGTACTGAGAAAGAACCAGCCACACAGAGCAGTTTGCAGGACTTTTACGTTAGCATGACCCAGCGCATTTAAACTTTAAGGATAAAAAGTCCTTTCCGTTTTCTTTACTTTTCATTCCATCCAGGAAGAGCACATACCGACTGCTGAAACTTCCTTAGCCTGACGAAGGGTTTTTGAACCCGAAAGCTTGCTTAATAATTATTTTCCAACTATTTGGGTTGGTCTAATAAAAGATATCAGATTCACCGAAGGAACCTTGTCTGCCTATGTCCTTAGACCAACACGGCTACAACCTACACCCCTGTTCCCCTTTGGAGTGCATTTTTCTCTTGTGAAAAGGCCTCAGTTACTAACAGTGTAGCACAGCAAGCTTACCTTGCCAATATGTCTCATCCCTGACCTGAAATAACCACTTCAGCGGCTCAAGGGACAGTTCACTTTCCGTGTACATTTAATCGATGACCTCTATGCTGAGCCTGCCAACTTCAAGGGTATTTATGCCAGACACCTGTCTGCTAGAAAGAGAGACCCATACCAATAATTAGCTGCACATTACCACTCAGGCCTCCAAGAGGAGCTTTTGAAAAATAGGTTTATCACCCTCTTTCTAGCTGCAACCTTAGTGATTTCAAAGAGCCCAACTTGACTCCTTTTTCTTCCCCCACGTTAAAACTCAGCTCATTTCTATGGAATTATACCTTGTTTACAACAGCATATGTGAAAAGAGAACAACAATAATACCCAATATTTATACAGCATGGCACTTTTCACCACCAGATGTTAAAGCTCTTAACAAAGGAGGTCTGAATCATTAGCCACATTTTACAAATGCAGAACCTGGGGCACAAAGAGACAAAGGGATAACTTGTTTAAGGATACGCAGTAGGCTTCTAGCAGCTGGGAGCAGAACTCAGGTGTTCTGAGTCTCCATGTGGTGTCCCTTAGAATCAGATCTCCAATGTCCACCTTCAAACTAGCAAAGTTTAACTCCCAGTACAAATTACCTCCCAGCTCCCCTAATAGCCATGTTCATTAAAATACAAGACAGTTGTTCTAATTAGAATTTTTGCACAACTCAAATAGCCAAACATTTGTATGAAAATAACTAAATTTGTATAACATCACACCTATGGACAATTCCTCGTACTTATTATTGCATATAAAAACACATCTATACAAACAAAAAAATATTTCATCCCTGTTTCCCCTTAAATTACTCTAACGGGCTTTAATATGTTAACTTAAAAGAATCAAAATTGTTATGGATATTTTGCTAATAAAGTTAGAAATCCCCAACTGTATGTTGTTATTTTCCTTTGCAACAAACTGGTACAATAACATGAATTGGAATTTTACAAGCGCTCTAGTAATATTATTCCTGTAATATAGTAACTGAATTTACTACATTAAATTAGAAGAGGAAACCCCAAATCCTCCCCTGCAAAACAACATTTAGGTATGAGTGCACACTTCCAGCAAACCAACCTTGGGAAAATTTGCAGAAGACTATTCTGGTATCACAGTTTGAAAATTAATCAGCTACAGAAGTTAAAATTGTTGTTCCTGGATTCCCCTGTCAATTTTCAGGGTTTTATAACTCTATTTTCCTGGTTTTAAAAAAATTCTTTCTCCTGCTGATAAATGAAAGACAGACTAAGGGAAAATATGAAAGACCCTAACAACTAGCTCTAAGGGAGTGGACAATTATACCTGTCAATGAGGGGCACATGTTTACCCCACACTCTTCTTGAGGGACACACCAGATTCCCTTCCTGCCCATTCTGCTGGTCCGCTTTCTACTCCCTGTTCCGTGCTCAGTCTCCTCTGCTTTCTGCTTCCTGCCCTGTGCTGTGCTGTGCTGCCTACCTGATCTCCTGCTCTTCATGCTCCTGCCCTACCTGCTGCTGTTCTGAAGCTGCACTTCAATTGAGCCCAACGCTTGCCAGATCTTATAAGAAGCGCACCTAGCTAGCTACTGGGTTTTTGGTTATAGCCATCATTGATCTAAGGACATAGACAGGCAATGTTCTTTGAGTAGATGGGATATCTTTTATTAGACCAACTGAGCAGCTGGAAAAAAGTTTGGTCTAATAAAAGATATCCCTTCTATTCAAAGAACCTCGCCTGCCTAGCTAGCCAAGCATTTTAGGGCAACAGTCATGCGAGTTTAGCTACACAGGCCATGAGTTCAGGACAACTGATTTCCTAGTCCATTAGCAGATCTCTCATGGCATCATCTTTTCAAGAACAACAGCCCTCACCCACCGCCTTTCAAAACCAAAGTAACTCTTTGTTAGGAAGCTCTTGGTCTAAAGGCCCGGCCACATCTTCCAACACAAGCTGAAAACCAGCTAGAGAGCTCTCACAGCTCTTAACTTTGTAACCAGCTGGTTGGCTCTTTCTTATAGTAGAACAGACATTTTTATGGTGGCCTGTCTACATGCACTGCTTGATTCGCCAGTTAACTGTGTGATTGTCCCTTTGCACCTGCCGCCTGTCTACATTTATTGTGCGATTCACAGTGAAATGGCACAAGGTACATAACGAGTGGCAGGACCCTGACTCCTTACAAAGTAACTGAAACAACAGCCTTATGTTGACGTTGGTGGCCTCGAACCTAGCACCCCGCCTTCCCCCTCAGCAGGGGGCGGCGCAGCGGTCGCGTAGGGACATACCCTGGCCCTGAGGGACGCCGCCATCCCACCCCCTAGCATCGCCCGGCCGCTCCTGCCCGGGCAGCGACCCAGACGCTGAAGCAACAGCGGCCCCTGGCGGTCCCGAGCCGTCCCGCAGCCAGACTGACGTGCTGCGGCAGTTTCCGGCCCGCCAGGGAGAAGAGCCTACGCAGAGAACTACAAGCCGCGACCCTGAGGACTCGCCTCCCCAGCCTGCCCCGCGGCGCGCCTGCATCAACTGCTCATGCGTCCCGGGCGCCGGCTACTGGAGGCTTCGCTGTGACCTCCGGCAGCTGCAGGAGAAGATGGCGGCTGTCGCCAGGCTCTCCCACAAGGTGACAGGCACCCCACCTCCCCTGCTGGGCCTGTCTCCTCAGCCCGGCCCGGCTCCTCCTCGGCTGGCCCTGGGCAACCCCGTGCTTCTAACCCTGTCTGACTGCTCTTCCCTTCCCCCCTCAGGTCCGCTTCTTCAGCACCGGCCTCGTCCGCCCCGCCACCCATCTCGTCAAGGTAAGCCGTTGGGAGGGTGAAGGAAGTGCTGTGGGGACGCCCCCGGGGAGGGGGACCCCCCACGGGCCGGCGGTGCTGCGCATGCGCGGGGCCACCCCTGCGGGGGAGGGGACCCCCACGGCTTAGCAGTGCTGTGTATGTGTTGGTGGCCCCTGCCTGGCCTGCCCTAGCCCTTAGGGGGCGCCATCGGGCTTGGGCCCTTGTTGGGCGGGGGGGCAGACCAGCCTTGCCTGTGGCTGCACCCTTGGGTGCAGGGAGATGGGAGCAGCTGGGCCCTATGGGAGCCTGCCAGTGGGTTGGCAACCTCTGGCGGGGGTGTTGCAGGCAGAGCTGTACCCTGTCTTGTTTTCTCAGCTTCGCTGGTTCCCTCCTCCAACACTTTCCGCCACTGCCGTGGCAGTGGTGTGATTTGAACTAGAACACGTTTCATGCACTTTAGTTCAAAGCCCACCGCCACCACTTTCTCAGTGCAGATGAATATGACAAATGGGTGCTCTTAATAAGCATGGGTCGCTAATTAAAAGCACCTAGCACCACATCGGAAGCATGTGTAAAAATGTCCTGGGTGTTGGCTACAGCCAAGGCTGAGGACTGTGGCTGGGGTCTTCCAATGCTCCTGCTGGAAGCAAAGCCAGAGGTTCCCAGCTAGGGGGGTTGCCCCTCTGCTCAGGGACAAACTGATCACCAGGTTTGGGGTAAGGAAGGAATTTTACCCCATGGTCAGCTTGGTACGTACTGAGGGGTACGGGTCAGGGGTTGCTTCCCTCTAGCAGGACACAGTCTCTGCCCAGGACCTCCTGAAAATATTGCCAACATTTCATAGAAGCAGGATGCTGGCTGCCATGGCTCCCTTGCTTTACCTGCAGCAGGTTAGGGTGTTAGATCTGTGTTGTGTCAGGGCTGACAACAGTATATGTAGAGTGTAGATGAAGGATGGTGCAGGAGAGTTTGGCTAGGGTTGGGGGGTTGGACTAAATGACCTCTGGAGCCCCTTGTCCAGCCTGGCTTTTTTAGGATGCTGTGAAGTCCTACCCTACTCCCCTCCCCTATGGCTCTAGCTAGATGCCAGCTCAACAGCTCTCAACTGGGGGTGCAGCACTTACTTCAGAGGGTTATTGGAAGGGGACACGGAGGGTAGAAAGATGGAGAACCACTGAGCTCAACTGTGAGGCATGGCATGTTTCCTAGAGTGCACTGGAGTCTCCTGATTGGGATGACAATCAAGGTGCCCTTTGACCACTTCAGACCAGGTTGTTTTCACCAGCCCCTCTAATTGCAGGTCCCCAGAAAAACATGCTGATTGCAGATTACCTTTGTTCTGCTAGTGCTTGGCGCTCTTAGTTTTCTGCCTCCAGCCAGCTAAATGCAGAGGTGTCTCAGCTGCCCTAAGATTTCCTACTCAGTGTGACACAGACATGAGGAAGCCATAGTATGTGCACTGAGAAATGGGTCCTGTCTGGGAGTAGGACAGGCTTCCAGCGGCTCGTGGCCTCTGCCCCACTGCAGACCAATCCTGAAGGACATGGAAAGACCTTGCTGTGGGGTTGTTCTGAAATTTCCAACATCAGTGCTGATAAACGCGTTATTTATAACCGTAAAAGCACAATATGGACTTAAACTTACTGCTTTTTATTTCATACTGGGGAGGCATCACAAGTTGGTTTTCCAAAAATTATAATTAATGTTCTGTTAGATCTTATGTGAATTTCCTGTTTGAATCTTAGGGCTGGAGCTGCATTTTCAGAGATTACTTCTAGTCAGAACGATTGTACCTCCTGATGCAGGAGGTACATGGTCCCACTAGGGGGAATGCTTTGCTGGACCTGGTATTGGCAACGGGGGATGACATGGTAGGGGACCTACAGATCGGTGGTCACCTGTGGGTCAGTGATCACCAAATAATAGAATTTACCATAAGACGTCAAGTGGGTAAGGTAACTAGTAGGGTGGAAGTGCTAGACTTTAGGAAAGCTGATTTCAATTAACTCAGGCGATTAGTCAAGGACGCACTGCAGAGTAGGAGTTTTGAAGGGATGGGAGCCCAGGAAGGGTGGCTGTGCCTTAAGGAAATGATCCTTCGGGCACAGAGGGAGACGATCCTGATGCGAGGAAAAAGAGGGAAAGGGGCCAGAAAGCTTCCCTGGCTGACCAGAGAAATCCAGAGCAGCCTACGGGCTAAAAGGGGAA